AGAGTTTGGGGGAACAAATAGGGGGAATAAATAGGGGGAATTGGAGATTTCAGGTCCCACAAGAAGTTTACACAATCGGGGGAGTGAACTGAATTTGGAGAATAAGAGAGGAGCACGATATTCTTCCATTCAATTCAAATACCAAAACTTGTCGTGTATGATATTTTTTCTTCCCCATCTTGTTGCTTTCATTGTGCTGAAGTTATGGCTGCTGATCACACGGGAAATACGAAGGGAAGAAGATTATAACGTGATGGTGTCACAAAAATGGGCAATGTATCAGTTTTGTTAGATTTATGATTTTTGGTAAGAAATGCTTTAGCAGAAGATAAGGGAGGAGAAGGATTGAAGCGGAGAAGAAAAAAGCCTACAGAAAAGGTAAATAATTTCTTACTTTCATGCATTTCAAAGACGTAATGGGAATTATAATCGTGTTGAAAATGTTAGATTATGACCACTGATTTTGTCATATTATATTTTGGCAAAGTGATCAGTCTCTTCTCATTGCGTAGCTTATGGCTATCATGCATATGATATGATTTGTGAATAATAATCTGACTTTTCATCTTTTAGGTTTTTGGCTTTTCAAAGGCGACCATTTGGTCACTAAAAGATTCTCATTTTGCCAAGTGCAGAAGAGACTGTTGGTTTTTTTTTTTCTTTTTTCTTTCCTTCCTCTTCTTTACGTTTTTTTCTTATAACCTGGAATCGGATCCCTATAAATGAAGGTGTTTCGGCTACCTAACTTTGTAATCAACATTGTGGAACTCGTCTCCAAATCGGGAGAAGCCTCGGGTACAAGCCCTACAAAGTTCGAACCTGAAATGGGTATTCCTATTGACCACAACCCCACTGCGCCACCACCCCGCTGCAAATGATGCTGTGGCCTATCATTAGTTTGTCTTATAAAAATAGTAGGCAACCGGCAACTCAAATTGTGGCCAAAAAATCCTTAACAATGATGTATAAAAGTTGTAGGAAATTAGATTATTGTTATTATGACATGAAATTATTTCCAATTTCCATTTTCTAAAGTGCCGTAATATAAAAATTAAAGTTAACTCAGTGTTCAATTTCATTAAGTTTTGAGATTGGTTTGGAGTTGAAAACATTGCTTTCAAAATATCTCATGTTTTAGAGATCCAAACAAGATCTTATGGACACATCACATTTGATTCACTATTTGGGCTATAATTTAACATTAAAAAAAGGACAAATTTGATAATATGTTTTCTATACACAATAAAAGAAAATTACTATTTGAAAATAGATGGGGTTGAAAGGATAAGAATCAAGAAATTCTTTGAAAAATGGAGGAATTTATATATTTTAATTTTATGAAGGTGATAACGAAGTTTTTGTCATTATATATTTGATTCGGAAGGATTTTTAATTATAATAAAAGTTGAAAGCCATGAAAGAAGGGGTAAAGAAAGAAAATGATTGATTTAATGTGCCGACAGTTTGATGCATTAGAAATTTAGAAGAAACCAGAGATTTTCTAAATTAAATTTGTGGCTGTTTTACGTTTTTCCCTTTTGTCAACTCTGTCTTTTTAGCTCCAGCTCCAGGCATCTTTATTCCAAATTTACATTTTATAATTGCATTCTGAAAATTGTTACTACATTATATTTTAAAATCAATTATTTTTATATCTCTAGATTTTAAGGAAAATTCTTAGTCCTTACCACTTATCTCGACAAAATGTTAATAACTTTATATGATATGGCATCATCCGACATCCATCAGATAAAGTACCAAATTTTGATGAAAGAGCATGAACTAACAATTTTATAATTTTTTAGTTTAACTTGGATTATGTTATTTTACGTGTATATATTTATTTATTTACTTACCTCTAATTTTCATCTCTTTGATATTTTTTAGTTTAATTTTTAAGTTGTTTGATCTAATAAATTTTAGATCTAATATGATTCTGAATGTATTTAACCACTCATTTGTAACTTATCAAATAGTTGTTAAGTCATGTCACACGAACAAGAAAGATAAATCAATTAAGACATTAATAACCTCTCTAGTTGAACAAATATAAAATAAAACAAGTCACATTAAATCAATGTGGCTGGAAAGGTGTTTCACTTGAAACAAAACCAATATCACATTTAGATGAAAGGATGTTTCATATGAAACAAAACCAATAATCAAGAGATAATCAAAAGCTTCGAGTTAGAAAGGATGTTAGATCTGACTATTATTAAATCTAAAATTAATTTAATAAAAACCAAATTTAGTTTTTAATTTTTTTTTAATGAATACAACAAATGTGAGAATGATGAACAAAAAAGTCATATATTCGAACCTCTAACCCACATGTTGTATACGAAAACATAAATAAATGAGAAGATGGAGAATGAAACTCCAGAGCTTTAAATCCTCACTCTCACGCATTGAGTAATGCTAAAAAAGACATATATATGACCTTTATGAAAGGAAAAAAGGGAAAAGAAGAAAAGAAAGCAAATTTTGGAAAGAACCTGAAATGATGGGTAGCTTAAAAGGTTCCAAAACCTGAAATGATGTTGCTTAAGAGGATTATCATCTTTTCCTAAACCACACTTAATTAACATTTCATAAACCTTACCTTTCCATTCCCATGAAAGATTTTCTCTTATCCCAAACAAATCTTTGAACTGGATAAAAATTAACTTTCTTCTAGGTTTCTAATTACAATCGTTTCCACTGGGAGAGAATTATATCAAATAACAGAAAAAAATTATGGCAATTCTCATAACAGCAATATATACAAATAATGTCTTCAAAACCTGAATTTAGATTAAATTTTTATAAATTATTGATTGTTGAACTTAAACCAAATTTTGTATGGAGTTAACAAAAACATCATCTTGATCAGAACATGTGTATTGATTTTTGAAGTGAAACTGTCACAGGACTTGCGAAAATGAACAGACTGGTGGCTTGGCTGCTACACTACAAATGCCACAAGTTGGGAAGGAGGTGCTGACACTGTACATAACTTGATTACAAAGCATCAGAAGCTGAAGGGAAGGTTAAGCCCCCTTCCCTGGCTGGTTTATACGGCTTTGAACTCGATGCACCTTTTTGTCTGGATCGATAAATCGACAAGCCCGTGGTGCAGCTCCAGTGAAGCTCCCGGGCGAAGACCATATTATACTAACTCTTGTTCTGTGGAAGAAGCAAAGGCAATTGATGATTACAATTACAAATCTATATAAGTTGGAGTTCAACTCAGTCTGTCTTCTCATCTTAACCTTATACCAAATTTCTATGTTATTTGCACATTAGAATAGGAAATCCCAAAATCACTTTGACAAAGTTAAATAAACGCACAATACAACTGGGGAGAATTCAAGAGCTCTCAGTTCTACCTATGAGCGACTTACTCACTCCACTTCTAACCCCACCATCCCATTGAACACTCCCACAATGCAATTCTCCCTCTACCCCTCTACCCTTCTATTAGATCTTCAGGTGTATATGAATCTGAAAACTTCAATGTATAAAATAATGGTCCATGTACTATTAAGATTACGTCATGTAAGATCTTCAATTTAAAAACTGTCTTATAGGACTTTCAATGCTGTGGATAATAAGTCTCTGGTCTTTAAAAACTATCTAACAGGTCTTTGAACTTTAAATTTATCAAACATTTTTTACATTTGGATACCAATTGGATAGAAAATGTTTAAGGCTTTATTAGACACCTTTTAAAGTTTAAAGACTTATTAGACACAACATTGAAAGTTAGACGTCTGTTAGAAACTTTTTCAAGTTCAGGAGCTTGTTAGACACAACCTCAAGGTCCAGGTATCAAACTTGTAATTTAACTTTAAAAATAACAATATTTGACGTATGAACTCCTGTGTGCCTTCTCAATATTCAAAATAATATATATACTTTACTGATCAAAATTCAGCTAAATGAATGTGGAATCACATATCTGCCTACCTGATGAAGCCACCAAATCCCAGATGCTAGTCTTTCAAGAAAAGAAAAGTATGCAGAAAACCTCATAATAAGAACTAAAGACGGAGGGAGGAAAACTAAGAGCAGTTTCTTACCCCATACAATTCCCTCAGTCTCACAATTGCTGGTTGAAAACCAGAACTCAGAGGAACAACTTGTACAACTCTAGAGTGTTGTGCATTGCCATTCTTGGGTTTAGAGATTGTCATTCTAAACATCTCTCCCTCCAAAATTTCACTTGCAGTTTCAGCTGCAGTAAGAAGTGAAAATTCAACCAACAATCAGAATCAGATTATATGCGGGAAACAGAACAGCTTGGATAAAGGAAGATTAAGCCAGATTTCGTGGAAGACTGTCAAAAAAACTTCCCATAAACTTGTATTATACTACTTTCTTAAGACACCCGTTGAGAAGTTACTCAGAAATTGAAATACAGAGGGAGTTTACCAGCAAAAGGATGAAGCTTAGCAAAGTCAAAAAACTCATCAGCAGAGCAACCAAACAGAACCCTAGCGGCCCTATCGAAGCATATTACAGTTTGCACCTTCTTATCCGTAGCAATTGACATCTGCCCAAAAACAATGGAAATATAGGAGCCCCAATCAGAGCCTAGACGTAATAATGCAATGCACAGCCCCCGAACCCATTTCAAACAACACAGCATTTTCTCCATAAAACGTGTAATCAAGACCACAATGAGTCGAATACATAAATACATTCATAACCCCAACATTTCCCATTCAAATTTCAAGCGGAATTCCAATAACCAGAACATCCCAATATGTATTCAGAAACATTAAAATTCATTCCAAGTGGGCAAGCGGCAGTACTCACAAGGAGACGAAAGAGGCGTTTGGAGGAGGAGAAACCGGGATTGAAGGCGTTGAAGTTGCAGAATTTGCAGAGAGAAGAAGAGGGGTTGTCGGGGAGAGACCTCTCACAGATAGAACAAACCCTGTAACAGAAACTGCTGTGATCCATCGCTACCACTCCGCACATTGTTGTAATTGGCTTATCATTTTCCATTGCTCCTCCAAGAAGATTGCCTCCGTTGCTGAAAACGGAAAAAAGCGCTCCAAATCCACTGCGATACTTTGGCCTTTTGTGCAAATAAAATTAAATTAAAGGACAACTCTTGTGAACTGGAGCTGGGCCAATTGTATCGTCCTTCTAACCATCTGGGCCGGCCCAGTTTCCGGTGTGGGATTCCAAACCTCTGGCCATCCAAAAAGGGCCCACTGGTAATGCACTGGCTTTGCCCGCCGGCAACGAAGACGATGGAAAACCCAAGGAATGGAGGAGACCTGAAATCCACGGAACTGGAGCCTCACTCTTCAAGGGAAGAATTAGAAAGCTTAATCAATTTGGTAACCCTGCATTTTTACAGCTCGTTCCTCCGCTTTATCGAGACTAAACCGTATGCTTTCTGTCAGAAAGATTTCCTTTCGTTCGATGCTAGAACTTGAGTAAGTGTATGATCTTGACTCTTCCCTCTTAGAAGGAAGAAATTAGTGCAAAGATAATTGTTGATGCCGTCAATCTGGTAGGAATTAGATGATTAGGTTCGCTTTTAAGAATATTAATCTTGACTTTATTTTTTCTATATTATGCATGCTTA